GAGCAGAGGGACTGTTTAGCCTGCTGAGACCACAGCCTGACTGTGGATTAGAATAGGTATATATGAATAGATAAATCTTAGCAGAACGTTATCAATCAGTAGCAGCTTTAGGTTCTTCTGTGATTGCATTGGGACGAAACAATTCATCAATTTTAAACCGGAATCGTAAAAAAATTGTCCGACCAAGGACTTGAACTGTTGCAGGTTTAGAGTTTCATGCTGTTGTTCTCGTTGCAGGGCTGGAACCTTCCTTGCCACAGTCGACAGTTTGCTTGCTAGTGAATTAAAATGTGCAGCTCTCTGAGGAGTTGCAGCGCGATGGCCGGCGCTCGCTTGCAGTTGGCGGTTTCTAACGTACGGGAGGAATCCGGTGTCAAACCTGCAACCTTAGCGACACGCTCCACCACCTATTTCCTGTGATTATGTGTTTTAAATCTATTACACAGTGGATATTGATCTGAATATTGACTTTGCATTGCAACTTAAATCACAACGTTTGTCCGAAAAATCCCATTTAGATATTTTCTCCAAGTTGTTTGATATGGACGCTCCATCTGGTCCAATTTATAGCCCGAGTGCTGCATTAAGACGGATCTAAGCTCCTCAACAGGTCTGAATCGCCCCTCCAGGTTTTGCAAACCCCCCCAACACTCTCGGTCCACTTAAAACGGAGCGTTTAACGCGAGTTGGAGTGCTTTCAGGTTTAACCCCTACCTCCGAGCAGCTGGCCCTCTTATCCGTCCCACCTGTGCAGATGCATATTTATCCCTCTCCGAGTGGCAAAGCGCTGGCTTAGCATATGGATTAGCAGGAGAATCAGATGCACGGCCACACTGAGTGGCCATCGCCGGTAATGGCTAAGCAAAGGAGCGGTGTTGCTTACATATAGCGCTTCAGCTCGGGCTTGATTTATGGAGGAGGTCGGCTCTGGAGTCGGGCCTCTGTCTCTTGGTAATAATTGGTCCGGCGCACAAGCCTTGATCAATTTCCTCGAGTGGAGTGTATTTTAAGATGAGACGAAGACCGTTTGACCTCTCCATTGTTGTTTAAAATGAAAGGCTCCCATTAGGCTCAATGCACCGGCAGTGTGAGGTAACATAACCTAGAAAAGAGTTGTTACCGTAGCAGGAAGTGCACGATATTTCCCTTTTTTTAATAGTTTTTATGTGGATTAATTGGACTTTGGAAGGCTAATACCAAAGAGAAATGAAAAGCCATCTGACTCGTGCATTATTCATCACACTCTGATGCTTCATTTTGCTCTTAATGGTCACAAAGACGAAATAAAACCCTTTTAAATGTGTGAAATGGCAAATACAGGAAGTCGTTGTAAACCTTACGACGCGCGACTCGTGCCGCCTCCGCCTACCGACTTTTATTGGAGTGACGAGACCAAATTTGACGCCCAAAGGCCACCGATCCCGCTTCTTTTGATAACGCTGCCAACGGCTCGGGTTTGTTTGCGCTCATGCGAGGAGAATCGTTTTATAATCTCGTCAATACGAGGAGGGAGTGGCTGGAAAAGGTGTGAATGGCGCGATGCCACGTCTCCGAGTGCCATCTGATAATGAGACGCCGTGGAAGAAAAAAAAAAAACAACATGAGTCAAGTTTGCCAGAGACGATTATGATGCAACGACGAGCGTGTTAATTAATGTTTTTATGTGTCAGGCGGCTGAAGTGGCTCAAACATACTTTCCTTTAGCTGTCAGACGCTTTATTTTATTTATTATGTGCTGTTCGTAGTGCTAATTGTTAACCCTTGTCCTTAGTTGAGGCTGCAATCAATACTTGTTTTCACTGTCGACAGTTAAATTAGCCTGTTGAGTATTTTCTCAATTATTTAGAGAAAAAAAATGGCCAATTAGTTTTTCCCAGAGTTCACAATGACGTCCTCAAATGTGTTGATTTGTCCACAACCCAAAGATATTCAATTTACTGTCATAGAGGAGCAAAAAAAAAGGAAAATAATCACATTTAAGAGGCTGGAATCAGAGAATTTTTACCTTTTTTTCCCCTTAAAAAGTCACTTTTTAAGCCGCTATCTCAACAGTTGGCTGTTACTATATTAGTTGAGGAGATGGAGAATAAATCATTTTTCTAGTTCTGCTAATTAAACATAATGGGGTTCCATCTCTGATCATCAGGAACCTTCTGCTGGAACATCTCTGGTTTGTTTGAAGCTTTATCATGAACGATGGAGACTTAAACTGGCATTATTTAAAAAAATGTTTTGATCGATATATCAAATACTTTCTGGGATAATAATAATAATAACTCAATTTCAGCATGTTTTTTTTTGCTCAAATAACGTTTGAAACTATGTTTAAACAACAACATTTAATGAACTCTTAAAGATAAAAGCCTGAAATTGTCACTCATTTGTCACGATATCATTAATTTAGAATCTGCAATATTGTACGAAGAGATTAAATAATCTCTTAAATATGAAAAGTCGCATCTTTGAGCTCACATTAACAAAAACATTGAGAAAGCAGAGGTTAGTTAGTGATATCTTATCAACCGTCTGTAGCTGCAGGTCACAATAACACAAAACAACACATGTAGGATGCTTTTAATATGAAATATTTGGTCACAAATAGGAAAGGAAAGTTCTTTTCTTTGAGCTTTCATACCTGATTGAGCAGCTTTGACAAGTTGTGCCACAAAAGCAAAATGTTATGAGTGTGATCCAGGCGCGATAGTTCATCAGGCACACGCGTAGGTTTCAGTCAAACAAGGTAACACGGAGTCGTCACTGTACGCTCGCCGGCTGTAGTCGCCCCCCGAAGGCCCGTTCTGAGGCAGGAATGCAGCGACGGGATGCTCCGCAGGTTCCCTTGATCAGCGCCATGTTTCTGAATTTGGTATATTTAATAATGCCGTGTGAGTTTATGCCTCCATAAATAAACCAGTGCATCGCCTCGGCGACGGGGAGGAGGTATCATCAGATGCTAACGCCAGCGCTCCTCGGTGCAGCTTCACCGTCGGCTCAGGTGTCGCCTTCCTGTGTGAGCGGCGAAGTTCGAGGCGCCGCTGGCATATTTTATGACAACATTTTCTGTTGTGGGACGGATTGCGAGGAGAAATGGATTTTTGATGTATAGATTTCGAGCAGAATTTCGCTAAACGCAGCGTGGAGGTGGAGGAGGAGGGAGGATGCAGAGGTCAGCGTTGGGATGAAAGAGGGCTTTAATCTGTTTGTAGGACGTACGTTAGTGGAGAAAGTATTGTGACTATTAAATGACTCCCTGAACCACTGCGAGGCTCCATTATCTGCAGCTCAATCTCTTCCTCTTGCATCACTTTTCCTGCATGCATCACCCCCACATTCACGACTGACTTTTCCTGCTCCTGTCACATTTTTTTTTACTCAGTGTGGGTTCATTTTTTAACTAGCAGAATAAAGTCCTGCACCTCTATGGAAACAGCACAACCATGACTAGAAGTAGAGAGAACTCAGAAATGTCTTTTGTGCAGTTAGAATGCAGAAATCATTAAAAAAGTATAAAACGAAAGCTGAATTCTTTGATTGTTTAGTTTACAAAAATTCAAAAAAACTAGAAATCACCATGTACGACATTTTTCCAAGTGCACACATGTGCTACCAATACTAGAAAAAACATACAATGGCTCTGCATATTATATTTGTTCTACTCCTTGCACTTTTTAAAACTTATTTGAACACTTTTCTTCTGCTCCGTGCAACCACAGCCTGCACGTCAGCGAATCATTCCTACATTTTTTGTCATACATTTGTGAGTCACAACTGAGTCAGTCATGGTTTATCAGTTGCGTTGAAGAGCACAGAATTTTTTAGTTTTTACAGAATCTGTTTAATGCTAAGTATGTATTTTTTAGCAATTTTTTTAAAAAGAAAAAATGTAGAATAAAGAGAATTTTATGAAACGACTGATTGTTAAAATGTGATGCTTGTCAGAGGATTGTTTTATAGTTTCTTCCTCTAATAAACGATGATCTTTAATTATTATTTTTTCTAAAGATCCCGCGCCTTTTTGTGAATCATGCGTCGCTTAAGCGCTCGTGTGTTTATCTGCCGGCCTGCACATGTGTTTTTATCCGCAGTCGGGGGAAAGACACAGATGTGAAACATTATTCAATTTGCCCCTTCATTTGATCCAATGCAACGAGGCAGATTTGGTGCTGCTCAGTATAAAGTGACTGAATGTGAAACATAATTGACTTTAATGGCCGTACATCAAGGCCAAAGCTATTACGTCCGTAGCCTTTTTAAAAAAGGAAGAGAAACAGTTGCTTTCTTTCGGCTCTCCGCAGGTAAGCGGCTGCTTGACATTCACGGCGTTTATGCAGATTCACACATTTGCGAGTGCATTTCTTGCCGAGGTGTGAGGGGTAATTGTTCACTTACCAGGATTATATCACCTTGAGCTGAAGTGTGTTTATTAATAATATTCAGCTCGCGGTCCGGTTAATATCACCTGAAGCCTTTTCTCTGATGGTAGCAGCTCGAGTACGTACTGCGGAGAATTCCTGAGCAGACACTGTGTACTTCTGGCCTTTTGGAAAAAAAAAAAAAAGTCCTGCAAAGGTTCGTAGTATAAACTTCCTTTGATTCTTCTGGCCAGCCTAAGCCTGAAGTTAGACACTTCATTTGGCGAAAGGATTAGACTACTAAGCCTTTTAGTGGTAAGCTGGTCACATGAAAATCTAACATCGGTTTTCATAGACAAGAAAACCTTGCACCTCCTTCGGGGATTTTCCTCCCTTGAACCCTGAGACTCCTCCCATGTCATCCCTGACTTGGCAGTGCATGCATGCATCAGTGGCCATGTGGATTTCCTTGTGCTGTAGCCGCGACTATCTGCAGGATTTGGCTAACTGCTGTCTCCCAGGATCACTCTGTAAGCCTTTTTACTGTCTGACCGGCGTGTTTGACCTGCTGGACGTTTTCCATTTTGTTTGCAAAAGACATGAAAAGGGGGGAAGGGAATCACAATGTTGTCTATTTCTGGTTTGCAGAGTTCCCCGAGACCTGCGTTTGGGATGAAAGCTGGGAGCCAATGTAAAGAAACAGCAGCGGAGTGAAGACAGCTGCAGGTAAGAAGTGTTTGCCGAGCTTTGTGTGTGCGCGCCGACAAAATAGTGTCACTCAATGTTCGGGTTTCTGCAACATACGTGATTAAGCGTGAGTGGGACCGGCGTGTATTGTTACTGCGATACTTTGATAGTGTCACAAAGTCAAAAGGCTGGTGGAGAGGCGAGGTTGGTATTATTTTTCCGTGCTGGAACACCGTGTCTCATTTCCACAGGTGCAGATATCAGATTTGTTTTTTTGGCAGGAGGGGTGTATGTACAGTACATCCGAGCCGGTACAGCACGTATGTACAGCTCGCTGACGCGTTCGCAGGCCTCCCACGCGCTTTGCATATCGAGTCCGTGCCCAGGCAAAGTGGGAAAACAATCAAAAATGCAATATGTAGGAGTGCAGGAGCCGGAGATCCAGAGGCTCAAGTGTTGCCCTCTCAGAGCGATGAGCTTTACCTGTCTGCCACCTGAGCAGCACCGAGGGTGACACATATTGTTTAGATTGCAGGCCTGTGCGTTGTTGTTGTCGTTGTCGCAGCAGCAGCAGCAGCATTCATTTACAAGGCAAATTGCACGTAGGAAAAGTCGGCGTTTTGCGTTTACTGAGTGATTAATGGGTCTAATTACACACCTTTTATGTGCACACTTTACATGTTACGAAAACCTGCCGTGACGTCTTCGAAACGTCCTTAAAATGATATAATTTAGCTTGATGTTTAACTTTCTAGCTGCACTGGAGCCCGTCTTGTGTGACTTTCCATTCGATTGGGAAGCTTAACTCAAAAAAACCCCAAAAATATAAAGATTCCAGACATTAAAACAACAAATAATTCACAAAAATGCATGTTATCTTTAAAAAGTCACCAGAATTATCCCATTTATCAGAGCCACAAGCTGTAGAACAGGATCAATTTCTGCTTTACGATGGTTTCTTGAACTAATCACTTTCAGTTTTGTCTGGAAAACTGACTCAACTTAGTCCAAAGTATTTGTGATATTTCATTGGTTGCACTTTATTCGATATGTCTCATTAAAAACTTCAACTAAATTCTGTAAAAGACAAAAAATTCTGCACTTCTCAACAAAACCAAGAAGCCACGAGTGACTCGGCTGCAGTAAAAAGTGATTTTACAAAAATTCAGAGACTTTTCGGTTGAGCTGTGTTTACGTAGAGCAGAGAGGAGACGGAAAATAATTAAAAATGTAAGCGGTAAGATATCTATCGTACGTACAGTCACCATTTTTTCCAGTATTGATAACAGCTGGAGGCACTTGGGAACATCTTGTCATGGTGACTCCAGGTTTTTCCATTTTTGTCACTTCAATAATCAAAGAAATTCAGTTTTAGTCTTTCTTATTCGTGGCATTAGAACTGTGAAGACATTTTAAGGTTCTCTCTCCTTCTAGTTGTGTTTGTTCTCGAGCTGCAGGACTTTATGTTGCAGTGAAAACTGAGCCCACAGGAGGAAAAATAAAAAAAAACCCAACAACAGCTCAGAGTTCAGAGGGTTAAAATAGCTGCATTACGTGGACACTCCATCATGTCGGTGCAGCGGGGGACAAACGCTCTTCGTGGAGAACCGAGAAATCGCAGAGCGCTGACAGGACAGTAAACACTGGAATCATCCCGGTGCTGCAACAGGTTCCCTCAGCCAGCCTTTCCTCTTCGTCTGCTGGCAGCCGACCAGCGTAGCATCGCACACTTCACAGAGCCGGAGCTGCAGCCGTCAGCAGCAGCAGCAGCAGCAGCAACGTTCTCCGTCCGTCGTCACGGCCGGCCTCGTGCTAGCATGCTGCGCCTCTCCGATCTTTTGCTCCACGGCAGCGTCGGCGAGTCCTTTTTCGTATCATATTTACATGCTTTCATCTCGGCGGTGGAGTATGCGGCAATTATTGTAAGGGTTTGGCATCGATAGCCAGTTTATTGAATCTGAGATGGAACGAGTAAACAAACCAAAACTCTCTGATTCAGTTGGAATCGTTCTCTTGCTGGCTGACGAGGAGGAAACACTCCAGTTTGGAGTGGCAGCCTAATTAATGTTCACAACCTGCGTCTTCAATCCGAGAGCAACAGCACATGAAATGTTGATTAAACACATATCTGGTGCGTTCAAATAGGAGCTGCCGCCTGCTGCACTTCTTTTTTTTTTTTTTGCCAACTTATATTTCATGAGCCGCTCTCTCCAAACGCTGGAGGTCCCGAATCAGAACCTTAAGTTGACAAGCTTGAATTATTGATTTGATATGAATCAAAGATTAAGAGAGAGACTGTGACAGCTGGAACTGACACGCTGTGATTAGGGAGATTGTTTTTCCTCAGATTTACCACTCGGTCGGTCTTGTTGAAAAGCAAAAACACACAGTGTACACAGGGAGCCGCGGAGGAGGAGAGCGAGGCTTCCTTTTAAAACCAATTAAGTTTGGACGAGCACAGTCGCCGGTTCGCTCTGAGCCAAGTTTCACTTTGACCTTTGAGCGAGTTGGCAGGAGTCCGCCGCCAATGAGAAAACGTGCAGAGGTGTGTCCTGCAGCTCTCGGACAGAATGTCCAAAAAAACAAGTTTTGGTTTCCATCTTGAACCTGCTTCCTGACAGCGACTTGGAACAACAGACGCCTTTGATTGATGCTCAGGTTTGCAGGATGCATTAGTGAGATCTGGAAGAGCCTCAGCGACTGACAATTATCCAAAACACACATGTCGGTGCAGAAGTGTAACGGCGAGATCACAGCGGCGATGATGGATATCTGCAGCTGATACAATACGTTACAGCCTGACAGTGATGGTCAGCGTCGGAGTCATTAGTCAGCGTTAATCAGAGACGTTGATGCTGAAAATGCGTCAGTGTTTTGAACCGATGCACGTTTTTTTTTTTCTACATCACAACGATTATTTTTTTTGTCTTGGTGCATAATTGCTGAGGTCAGCTGTTTTTGGCTGCACTCATTGTTCTGCTGGAGTGAAGTCCAACTTATTTCAGTAAAAGTTTCCACACTGAAAACAGAGAATTTACAGACAAACTTAAATGAATTGCTTCAAATTGTAACATGCAATCGAGTTACGTTTATCCAAATTAAGTTAACAAGTTAATATAACTAATGCCACCTGTCTAAGTTAGATCCACTTAACTCATTAGATTATCTCTCAAACCAGCATGTTTGATCAGCTCGATGTTTTTAATTTAAACACTGCAAATGCAACATGATTTTCTCTTTAGACTGAACATTC